TAAGTTGACCAATGGGCCAGACTTGGGTCACAGACTCATCCCTGGATGGATCCACTGAGCCCAGTAGGTGGGTCATGGTGATGGGTTTGGATTAAAACAGGGATCCATTGACCCTATGACCAGATGACGGTATGAGGGAGGCAGCGTTCGGGGAGAACACAGAGATGACAGCCCCTCCCCCGCACCCCGGGCTCTGGAACCTGAGTTGCGAGTTGTGAAGAGAGAAAGAGGATTTCTCAGGAGAGCGGAGGTGTGGGGAGGGGACCTTCTCCCAAGCTGCGGCGTGTGGGCGAGTGTCCTGGGCGGATGAAGCACCGGAGCCAGTCCTCCATCACGGGTCCCCTCACAGCTGCTTTCCAGGTCTGCCTTCCCCCCACCCAAGCCCTCCCAGCCCTCACACCAGATGCTCATTGGCTTTTTGCCCCACAGAGGTACCAGCGATCCTCTTCAGAAATCAGTGACTGATGGAAATCGCACTGTTAACCATCTTCTGGAAGCACCGAGCTTTGCATCGGGCACAGACTGCAGACCAAGTCCCCTCTCAGCCAAAGTCCCTGAAGTGATGTGGGCGGAGGTGCCCTTTTCTTCATGAATTACTCCACCTGCAGTTTACTTGTACTTTATTTTACTTCCCCTTCCACGTCTGTCACCCAGCCCGGCCCTCTGCCACCTGGTGTGACAATTATTTTTCCTTCCCTCTGGATTGAACAAAGCCTTTCTCTCCCCGCCCGCGCTGCCCCCAGCAGCCCTCACAAGGTGTCCAACTCTTTGTTAACAGTCATGACTCCTGCCATCTTGGCCCGAGAAGGGCCATCAGCTGGCCCGATCCTTTTATCTCACCGGGGAGAAAAGGAAGCTAAACAATTATATCTGAGCTTTTTCCAAGGCCACCCAGGACAGCAGCGGCACGGGACAGCTGAAGTCTTGGTGCTGTCTGGTTCCGAACCCAGCAATGTCTCCAGGACTGGACAAAACAACCAGCAAAAACTAGAAACGGGCTGGTACAGAGAATCACTCAAGCAGTTCCTCAGGTCCTGTGACCAAAATCCCCCACTGTCATCCTGCTTCTTTTATTCTCGTTTAAAATGAATCTGTCCCCCTTTAGGGACAAGTCACCGCAGGACCTCTTACCAAGACAGGGAGGGCCTCCCCTGGCTTGTTCAGAGGTGAGTTATCAAGCGACTCTCATGCCAAGTGGGGGATGCAAGAAAAACAAAAACAAAAAAACCCCAAGCAACCAAACAAAAAATACATTAGCTATGGTCCCTAACCATCAGAAAGTTTTCAACTGGTTTGAGGAGAAAGGCCAAACATATCTGATCCAGTTCAGTAGACAAGGACGTCAGAGAGCAGAGTGTGATGTCATCAAACACGTGGAGACACCAGGCTTCACAATATTGTCCTTACTCTGCATTTTGTCATCATCTTATGTTAAAAAATATAATATATTAGAAACTTCTCCTGAGCTCCATAAAGATGCACCCAGATCTCCTCCAGTTTATTCTGGATGCTGAAGAAACATAATTATTGTGGAAAGGGATACACTTCAGGAGCAAGAGTTCAGAGGATGAGAAGGGTGTCCGAGAAGAGGCCACCCACTGGGCTCTGAGCGCCACCCCCAACTTCTGGTGTCACCAGCTCCTCATCTGACATGCAAGAAACTGAAATCCTGTAGCAGGACAGGGAAGAACTCGGACCAGAACTCAGAATGCCTCTTGTGTCGACTTTCAAGTGATCCTATGAAAGCAACGGATGCACACAGTTCAAGAAATCAAGTGATGCTACAAGACTTATCACACAAAAGAGCTCTGGGCGTCAACTGCCACCCTGACCTGAGAGGTAATCACTGTGAACTCAGCTCTGTTGGACACTCTTTACTTTCTTGGTTTCATACATCATGCTTGTGCTCTGTTTCTTGTTTTTTTCTTTCTATGGACATCTTACTATGGAATATGAGATTTTCTCTCCCTTAACTTCTCTCCCTTCCGGTTACATAACCAGTTTTATCAAATCAACGTTCCGTGTTTCCATTAGTCCTTCTGTAAACATTGTCCAGAGAAGAGCCACGTAGCACGTTGTGATTACGTGTTCTTTCCTATATAACTTTCTGTTTTTCCTGGAATTAGTAGCTTGCCTCTTGGTTGTTGTTATTGTTTAACTGGTTTTCTATGTCTCTCTCATGAATTCATCTTCCAACTTTACAAGTTATAAAATTATAATTTCAGAATTATCAAATTCTTAATTTTATAAAATAAGAATATGATTCTATAATTAATAGGACTTATAAAATTCTTCCTAATACATCCAAACACATCAGGTGAGCTCTTAATTTCTTATAAAAATAAAAATAAGACAAGTCCTTTGGATTCACCAATCCTGAATTTCTTGGTCCTCCAGCCATGGTAAGGACTGCTTTTCCCCTAGGTCTGATGCTCAGCTATGATTTTGAAACTTAGCTTCGTTTTCATTCTGGGAATTCCTTCCACCTCCTGTGTTGGGCCTGTTTTCCAGGATTCTAAGTTTGTCTCCTCCTTTGGGAGGAATGCATCTTCCAGTAGCTTTTTGAGAATGGGTAAATGGGAAGTGAATTTTGAGAGAAAAGGTATTCCTGAAAAATACCTTTATTCCATTCCCATGATGAGTTTACACTTTGGTTGGGTATAGAGGTCTAGGTTGTAAGCAATTTCTCCTTTCTGAGGCCTTTTGAAGACCCTGATCCCTTTGCCCTTGGCATTCCAGTACTGCTAATGCCAGTCTGCCTCCTGGACTCTTTTGAATGTGACCTGTTTCTTTCTGGAAGCTTTTAGCATCTTCTGTTTATCCTGGAAGTCCTGAAGTTTCATGGGGATGGTGTGGGTCTGTGTTGGGTACTCATTGGCCCTTTTAATTGGGAAACCGAAGTCCTTCAGTTCTGGGATTCCATCCATCGTGATTTAATTTCTCTCTTCTGTCCTTTTGTAACTCTTATCCAGACATTGCCCCTCCTTGGTTTGTATCCATTTTTTTCCATCTTTCCTACTTTCCAACTTTGTATCTTTCTGTTTTACTTTCTGGTAGATTTCCTCAACTTTATCTTTCAACCCTGCTACTGAATTTTTTCCTATCATATTTGTAATCTCTGTGACTTCTTCTTTTTCTTTTTTTAACATTTTTAATCTCCATGACTTCTTTCTTGTTTTCTGAATGCTGTGTCTCTCTCTTTAAAGGGCATCCTGGTATTTTTTTAAAGTTATTATTATTTTAAAAATGAACACTGTATCTTTTTTAACTTCAATATTATAGTATTTTTTCTCTCCGTGCGTTGCCTCCGTTTCTTTGAAGTTCCCCCATTTCCCCTTATTTGTTTATCTTGGTCTATCTTTTATGTTGGAGGGTTCCCTCCAATATTCCATGGTCCTTGATGGTTCACAGTTCTGAGTGAGGCACTCAAATCTATTTGAAAGTGTTGAGCATAACTGGGGGGTTTGAAGGCACGTGGGCTGCACCAAAGCTATTGCCCTGGGAGACCGAGACCTGATTCTAGCGTTTTTCTCTTGAGCTGGACAGTTTCCCAATGATATGAACCCTCCATTTTCCTGCCTGGGGGTGTGGGTGGGAATTGAGGAGGTACAAGCCTTTTTCAGCAATCTTCTAAGACTGAGTAAGGATTGTGTAAGGGAGATGGGGGATCCTAGATCTTAAGCCCTGAGCTTTCGTGTTCAACCTCTCAGTCTTCTTCCTCCCTACACAAGCTTTCAACCAATCTTCCTGTTTCCAACCTCAGCCAAACCCCACTTCCCCCGCCGCCACTCCGAGCCCATCTGGGGCTTGGAGATGCTGAACAGCCAGTTTCTGACTGGCCTCCAGTCTGCGTAGGTCTAGGTTTCTCTGGTAAGGTAGGTTAGTTTCCACTGATATAGCTTTTGTGTTTCTTAAAGGTTTAACATTTATTGTTGGTTGTTGCTGTTTTCACATTCTTTGTCCTTGCAGAGGTAGATGCCTTTCCTCCCTTTATTGTCATTTCAGTGGAGGTTTAAGAGGGAGCAGGGATAAAATTATATGTTCTATAGATCGTGCTTAACTGGGATGTCCATGTGCCTTTTTGAAAATTCACTGTTCCAGTTTTCTTCTTTTTTCTCCCTGTCTCTCCTTCCCTTCTTCCCTCCCTCCCCACTCCCTCTCTTTCTCCTTTCTTTCCTTCTTTTTCTTTCTTCCTCAGTTCCTCCTCTCCCCTCCCCGCCCCCCGCAAAGGTTGTTCCTCCCTCCTGGAAGGTGTTGCAAAGGCTGATGGTCTCTGCTCTCTCCCTTTCTCCTTCCCTCCCTCCTCTCTCTCCTTTCGGTCTTCTGTTCTTTCTTGCTTTTCTTTCTTTTTTCTGCAATCCCTCCCCCTCCCTCCCTCCCTCTTTCTTTCTATGGGAGACGTGAGCCCTCCTTCTGGTGTCTCCTTGGCCAGGCAGCTGGGGACACACTCTTCCGGGCTCAGCATTCACGGTCTGCAGAACCAAAGGCAGAGACACTGACTGGTGCTCAAGATCCCACCTGAAACTGGCTCTTCATCCTTGGACATCACTCCTGTTATCTTCTCAACTCCAAACCTAGGGAGAATGTGTCATGTTGAATCAGAGGGAGGAAACACATTCCACTGGTAACCAGCAGTGTTTTTGAGACCCGTCTTCAATGTGGAAAGGACCAGGGGAAAACAAGTCAGGCAAACCTTGAACTAGAACTTTCCCAAACCACAGGGCACACTTAGACATGCTTTTTTCTCTCAGGACACTCTTTTTCTCTTTCTTATTTTTTTTCCCTTTCTTTTTTCTTAAAAAATTTTTTTTTTAATTTTTATCTTTTTAGGAGGGGTAGAATTAGGAATTTGTTTGTTTGTTTGTTTAATGGAGGTCCTGGGGATTGAACCCAGGACCTTGTGCATGCTAAGAATGTGCTCTACCACTGAGCTATACCCTCCCAACCCTTTCTTTTTTTCTTGTCAATAACAAAAATTCGCCAGAGTATTGAGACATGGAGCTAAGGAATGGCCATGAGGACAGAGGGGGTGGGGAGGGGTAGAGCTTAGGTCTGGAGAGATTTTCAGGAAGGCAGACCAACTGTCCCCCAGAGGAAGATCAAGGGGTTAAGTGCGTGAACTGGGAGAGGGACACACACACACACACACCTCTCTGAATTTCATCAGTTTTTCCGTTTTTAAAACTCTTGTCTCTGAAACAGGAACTTGCCTTGAGGCTCCTGAACCGAGGGGCACAGGGCTAGCCTCCCTCCTCCTCGCTGTCACCTCGTCCTTGTCAGCGGCTGGCCGGCCGAGGTGGCTGCTACTGGCTGGTGAGGAGCTGGCTCCCTTGTGCAGGGAGCCTTGTGCTTCCCAAACCAGGGCGGGTAAGTGGAGGCTGCAGTGCCCCCCAACCCGGAGGGCTCCTGGGGGGCTCCTTTCTCACTTCTAAGAATGAGGCAGAGGGTGTGTGGGGGGAGGGGGAGGAACAGGAGGTGGGGGTGGGGTGCAGACAGAGATTCTGCCAAATTACAGATGGAGCCGCCTAGATCCAGAACAATTCCCAGGGGAGCTGCTCCCCCGCCCACAGGAAGGCCGGAAAAAAAGGCTTGAAATTCACATTATTTTTGGTACTTGGGAGATGGGAGGGGAGTGAGAGAGGGCAGTGGTTAGTAAATAGAACAGAAGGGGGAAGAAAAAAGGAAAAACTTGGTCGGTGTCTTTCCTAAGCAGCAGCTCAGAACTGCAGCAAAGACGATCTGATACGAAGTTGGACTTGAATATTTCCTGTTCCGCCTCCATGGGCTAGCCTGGGCGGGGAGCAGTCACAGACTTGATATCAATTTGGTGTCTGCCCTGCAAGCAGCAACTGCTGCCCCACCTCCGTTTTATAGCCCTGTTTTTTAATGTTTTTTAGTGACTTAAAACAACACAGACTTATTATTTTATTTTAGTTTATTTTTTATTACACTGCAGTTGATTTACAATGTTAGTTTCAGGTATACAGCAAAGCAGTTCAGTTATACATTTACATACGTGTATACATTTCTTTTCAGATTCTTTTCCATTATTTATTACAAGAAATTGAGTAAGTTCTCTGTGCTATATGTCCTTGTTATTTATCTATTTTATATATAGTGGTGTGTATCTGTTAATCCCAAGCCCCTAATTTACCCCTCCTTTCCCCTTTGATAACCATAATTCGTTTTCTGTGTCCGTGAGTCTATTCCTGGTTTGTAAATAAAACTCGTGTCTTTCTTTAGATTCCACATATAAGTGATATCATCTGATACTGGTCTCTCCCAGTCTGACTGACTTCACTAAGTATGATCATCTCTAGGTGCATCCATGTTGCTGCAAATGGCATTATTTCATTGCTTTTTATTAGCCCTGTTTTTGAGGTGATGGGGCTCTGATGTTACAGTTCTGTGTATTCGAGGTGGTTCTTAAATCACCCCCCTCTGGTGATGTGAAAAGCCTGGGTACCCCCAGGGAACATGGTTTTAAGTGCATCAGTCTCTACATTTGCCTGAGATGGAGAGAGAACCGGGTCTCACATCCATCTCCTCTGCTCCCCACTCTCCTTTCACACCAGCCCTCTCTCTTCTTCTCAAAAAGGAAAGAAAGGCATTGCCCTTTGCTGTAAAAACCTCCAGGGCCAAGACAAGGGACAATGAAAAGTATCTGGGTTTCTGTTGAGAAAGCAGAAGCCTTTTGTAACCGAGGTGCGAATCATTTCACAAGGTAGGTGGTTTCCAATTTATGACTTTCCATAAAACTTGGAGAGAAAAACCAAACTGAGCTGACCACTGATAGATCATTACAATAAAGTTTTTAAATAGACTTTATTTTTTAGAGCAGTTTTAGGTTCACAGCAGAATTGAGCAGAAAGCACAGTGTTCCTATACCCTCCCTGCCCACCATATGCACAACCTCCTCCATAGAGTAATTTTTGAACAGATGTCTGACCTATAACTCGAAGGAGTTCAAAAAATTGAATGACACTGCCAAGTTTGGCTATGCTGAAAAACAAATTTTGAGTTCCCTGGGAAAGGTGAATCAGCTAGAAATCTTCACGCAGAATTTGTGTTCACAGGCAAATTCCAGCCTCCCCTCTGAAGCCACGAGGCCAGAAATATGTCCCAATTTTCCTTCCTTCTCGACAGCCCTAAACATTGTCATAAGGAAACTCCTTCCAGCCCCATCAACTTGTTAATGTGAACAAGGTTTCTCAGCACCTACGTTCCAAAAAATGAGAAATTGGGACAATATGTTAAACCTACTCTTCTTGCAGTAACTAATATTAATTCATGGCTGTTTGAACTAATTACATATCTATGTAAATATGTAAAAATCCATGTATTTAAAAATCCATCCTCATCCATTGCATGAAGAAAATAACTTACAATAATATTTACTATTTTATGTTTAATGATGAATAAAATATATATCTATCTTGTTACTCATAATTGTAACGATGACTTGGTCTCAAAAAAAATGTTTCACACTTAAAGCCTGATGGTCATGGGATATTTTTAAATTGTGACTTTTTAAAATTGTATACTCAATTTACATATGCATTTTTGTTTCAGAAAATATGATCGGGTAATCAATAAGAGATGTTCCAATAATAAAAGATGTCATAAAAGTATATGACATTTGGATACATACACTTCTTTAGAACTGGAACGAAAATACAGTTCAAGGAGGGAAGGGAAGCATTTAACTTTTTTGACTGTTTAAAGAACTGCTTCATGTTGAAAAAGGAACAATGGTGTCAAGTAACTTTGATATTTAGATTCTATTGGGTACATTTTAAAAGCGTGATCTGACAGGTTTATTTTAAAGTATCCCATGTTGGGGGGAGGGCATAGCTCAGTGGTAGAGTGCGTGCTTAGCATGCACGAGGTCCTGGGTTCAATCCCCAGTACCGCCATTAAAATAAACACATAAATAATCTAGCTACCTACCCCCAATTAAAATATCTCATGTTAACAATTGGCAGAATACTTTCTTTGCAAGCACTCAAACCTATGATTAAAAGTTACAGATGTCAACTTAAAAACGTGCAAGGAGACAGACACTTTTCCAGCCTTTTTAGGGGGTGTGTGAAGAAAAATTTGACAACCAGCACTTTGTGTCATGGTCTTATTTCTGCTGGTAATACAGCACTTTACATTTCTAGATTCTTTACAGCTTTGAACAATAAAAAATGCAGGCATCATTTTACCTACAACGTCAGAGGGTTCCTAATCCAGAGTTCTTGGTACCTCAGCATGCTGCGCACCTACTCAAAACTGGGTGCTAGTTACAGGGTCATGATACAAGGGCTTAAACTGAAGAAACCAGAAATAAATCAGCCTATAGACCTCGCGGCTGAGCTATTTCGAGACTATGCACTTACATTTCAAGGGGCCATGATTTGACTCCTGGTGTAGTCAGTAACATACAATTACAAGCTGCATCCTAATTGACTTGTACTGTGACACTGGCTTGTCACCTTCTGAATTTATGGGGCCACCGCAGGGTTGGATGGTCGCTAATCGAAATGATCTAATCAACCCTGTTGTGCACCCTGTCATGGGAGAGTGACTTTCTTGGGTACCAGCTGAGGTTCTGGGGGAGACTCCACAACACGGATTGTAGCAGCGAGGCAGGAGAGGAAGAAGCACTTTTCCTCACGTCGGAACTGAAGAGGAAATGTTAGCTCACCACCATCTGAGTACTGCCAGGCACAAAATGCAAAACTGCGCTTAACCGGTGTGCGGAGCGTGTAAGTAGTGATGGCTTCATTAAACTAGGGTCGGGAGGGGAATACGTTTCACCGCAAGTGACTTGAAATAAAAATCTATTTAAGCACAAAGCACTCACAAAAATTTGTTTAGCTTCAAATTTTTTTTCTGTAATTAAACCTTTTATTTGGAGATAATTACACATTCACAGGCATTTGTAAGAAATAATTCAGAGAGACCCCACGTACCCTTTTACCCAGGTTCCCCTGATGGCAGCGTCTCGAAAACCAGTCTGATATTGCAACCAGATATTGATGCAGATACAGCCAAGAAAGAGAGCATTTCCATCAGCACAATGATCTACGTGTTGCTCTTTTTTTTTTTTTGCCACACACACTTCCCTTTCTACCCCACCCACTTCTTAACCCTTAGCAATCACGTATCTGTTCTCCGTTTCTATTATTTTTATCATTTCAAGAATGTTATATACACAGAATCAATCATATAAAAGCTCAGCTTTTGGAACTGGGGTTTTTCACTCAGTGTAATTCTCTGAATATTCACCCAGGTTGTTGTGTGTATCAACTGTTTGTTCCTTTTTTGTTGCTGAGTGGTATTCGGTGGTACGTACGTTCCACAGTTTCTTTATTCACCTGTTGAAGGACGTCTGGGTGGTATCCAGTTTTGGGCTATTATCAATAAAGCTGCACTCAGGTTTTTGTGTGAACGTAAGTCTTCATTTCTCTGGGATAAATGCCCAGGAATGCAATTACTGGTTTGTATGACAGTTGCATATTTAGTTTTTTTTAAGAAATTGCCAGTTTTCCTGAGAGGCTGTACCATTTTACATTCCCACCAGCAATGTACCATGATCCAATTTCTCTGCATCCTCACCGATATAGGACGTTGTCACCATTTTATATTTTAGCCATTCTGATAGGTCTGTAGTGCATCTCATTGTGAGGTTTCTCATTTTGTAGAATATATACATATATATATTAAAATTTTTTGAAATTTTCCCATTTTTATTGTGATATTAATTGACATATAAATTATATTTGTTTAAGATGTACACAACATAATGATTTAATACATGTGAATATTGCAGATTTCCACAGTTAAGTCTAATTGACATCCATCACCTCACATACTTACACTTTTTTGTTCTGAGAACTTTTGAGGTCTACTCTCTTATGAACTTTCAAATACACAAGAGTATTAACTCCAGTTACCATACTGTACATTATACCCCCATAACTTACCTATCTTATAACTGGAAGTTTGTACCTTTTGACCACCTTCACCCATTTCCCCCACCAACTGCTCCCACCTCCTACTCCCTCCCTTCCCTGGCCCCCACTTGCCTCTGGAAACCACCAATCTGTTCTCTGTCTCAGGTGCTTTGGATTCCATATATAAGTGAGATCATACAGCATTTGTTTTTCTCTGTCTTATTTCACTTAGCATAATGCCCTCAATCTCCTCCTTTTTATTGGCTGCATAATACTTTGTGTGTGTGTGTGTGTGTGTGTGTGTGTGTGTGTGTGTGTGTGTATACACATCACATTATATCTATATACCACATTTTATATATATATACGTATATCCTCAACATTTTCTTTATACATTCATCTATCAATGGACACAGGTTGTTTCTATGTCTTGGCTATTGTGAATGATGCTACAATGGTCATGGGAATGCAGGATATCTTTCTGAGATAATGATTTTGTTTCCTTCTGATACATACACAGAAGCGGAACTGCTGGATCATATGGTAGTTCTATTTTTAATTTTTTGAGGAACCTCCATACTGTTTTCCAGAGTGACTGCCCTAATTTGCATTCCAACAGTGCCCGAGGGTTCCCTTTTCTTCACATCCTCCCCAACATTTGTCATTTTCTAATAGCCATTTGCTAATAGCCATTCTGAGAGGTATGGGGTGGTATCTCATTGTGGCCCTGATTGCAGTTCCCTGATGGTTAGTAATGTGGAGCACCTTTACATGTACCTATGGCTGGTTGTATGTCTTCTTTAGAAAAATGTTCAGATCTTCTGTCCATTTTTTAATCAGATTGTTTTTGTTGTTGTTGGCGTGTATGAGTTCTTAATATTTATTTTTATTTATAAAAATATTTATTTTTATTTATATAAAATATATTTATTTATATGTATTTAATATATCTATATTTATTTGTTTATGTTAATTTTGTTTATATGTGTATATTTATATTTATCTTTTTATTTATCTTGGATATTAAGCCTTTACTGAATATCTGGTTTACAAATATCTCCTCTCATTTGAAAAGTTGCCTTTTCATTTTAATGACAGTTTCCTTTGCTGCGCAGGGCTCTTTAGCATGATGTAGCCCCACTGGTTTATTTTTGCTTTTGTTGCCTCTTGTTGCTTTTGGTGTCACATCTGAAAAAACCATTGCCAAGACCAATGTCAAGGAGCTTACTTAGGCTTTTTTCTAGACTTTCATGGTTTCAGATCTTCAATACTTTGATTTTATACAATTTCCTTTTCAAAGACTTGTTATTTGTGAAGTCTTTTGCAGGGGCTTTAAATATTTTTTTAAAAATTTATTATTAAACAAAAGAAGCATAAGGCACACAATATACTATTTAGAAATATGCAAGAGCACGAATGAATCCTGTCTCCTCTGACCACCTCCGAGGTGGTCTCCCCCCAGAGGCCACCATCCTACCAGCAAAACCATATGAAACTTTCCACCTAAAATAAAGGCACCGATCTCAGTTCAACCACTCTTTCCTACCCCAGGTCATTGCTGGGAATGATGAAGATTGTCTCGGGTACACAGAACCCCTGGGAATGCTTGTTAAATTTTCTTTTCCTCCTTTGTTGCTGTCAGCGAATCCATTTACAGGCAGAGGAATGAATTGAATGAAATCATTTCTGCCCCCCGCCCCACCCTCAATAGCTTCTCCAGTCTCTTGGTTTCTAATCGGCTGAGGACTGGGAGACCACACAACGGGACCTTCTGAAATGAGGTCTTCAATCAGAGTCAATAAGCAGGGACTTTGGCAACTCAGAGGCCCTTCCCCTCTTACTTTCTGGCTCGGAGTTTTGTTCCAGAGGTTGAAGTTACCAGAAGGTGACCCGCAGGTCAGGACCATGTTCCTGTCTCCGTCTCTTTGGCAAGCCAGGACCTTGAAGCCTTCTGACATCAGGTGCTAGAGCGTCCATTTGGCTGTTTGTCCAATTATCGCATGTGCAGCATCATTAGGTTTTAGGTGTAAGGATACAATTAGCTTGTTATTACTTGATTACTAAATGAAACTCACGCCGGACTGGGCTTAATTCTGCAGCCTAGTGCTACACTTAATTTTAACAATGTTTGGCAGACATGTGGAGTCATCATACAAATTATGATGAAATATGAAAGAAGATTCCTCAGCAAATTACCTGTCTCCAGTGACTCACACTGAATCGCACTAGGTCTCGGGTTCAAACTGCTCATCAGGTTTCGTATATGTTTTCCAGTGGCCGGAGTTTTAATGTGAATGGATACAAAATTGGCTAAAATTTCTTTAAAAATGTATCCACAGACTGACAAGTATTTTTAAATTGAAGATAAAGTTAGCTGTATTTTTTTTAAACCACAAAGCAGCTATGAGATCTCTGAGTTTTACATTGAAACCCAGTTATTCACTTATAAAATAAACATTTTGTCTCTTATCATCAAATAATACAAGCATCTTGAGGAATTCTTGGACAATTCAGAAATAGGACAGGTTTTAAAAAAATAAGATATTTGCTCACTCTTACTCCTTTGTACCTCTTGAACTTTGGACTGTGTGCACGTATTCCCTATTAACAAAATAATGGGAGGACATAAATCCATCTGTCCAAATATCCGGTTTGATTGTCTTTGTTTTGTAATCATCAGCTTGTGTTGGGAACTGCTGATGTAAGAGGCAGCCTGCTTCAGTGACCTCCACAGGCATCTCTTGGGATAAACCAGATAGAATTTATTCCAGATACAACTTTGACCATATTCGCCTCCAGGATTTTCTCATCGCAGCCCCCAGGCAAGGCTTGGTGTTGAAGAAATGGATTATGTAACTAGTCTAAGCAAACATAAAGTGACATAAAGCAGTAAATCATGGTCAGGGACCCAAACTTAGGGTATCTAGTTCTTCTCTGCTCTGATGCCACAGGCCCAGCTCTTCCCATATAATCACAGGGCACATCTCTGGGGATGCGGGAATCCCAGCCGTGCTCTGCGCTTATTCAAACTGATGGGAAAACAATGCCATCAGCATGAATCAGTAGGAATGGTGCATTGGGCCAGGAGACTGTTATTTCTGGGACCTGGATGAACACTTCGTTTTGAAGTTTATATGAGCATCTGATTTAGCAGTATAGCAATGTTTTCCAAACTTTGTCACTAGGAAATCATTTTGGCATGTGTACATATGTCATGTCTATAAATATGTATGAGTATAAAAAGTACTATCGCGTGGGTGGCTTGAACAACAGAAATTTATTTTCTCACAGTCCTGGAGGCTGGAAGTCCGGGATTGGGTTGTCAGCACAGTTGGACCCTGGTGAGAGCTCTTTTCTTGGATTGCAGATGGCTGCCTTCTTGCTGTGTGTTCACATGGCCTTTCCAGGATGTCGTAGAGATAGGGAGAGATCTCTTCCTCTTCTTATAAGGCCATCAGTCCTATCGGAATAGGATCTCGCCTTTATGAACTCATGTAACCTTAATAACCTCCCAAAAGCTCTGTCTCCACACACAGTCAGATTGTTTGTTGGGGGAAGGGAGGGTATAGCTCAGTGGTAGAGTGTGTGCTTAGCATGCATGAGGTCCTGGGTTCAATCCCCAGTGCCTCCATTAAAAAACAAACAAATAAATAAATAAATC